CACACACACACACACACACACATTGCAGGCAGAGACCGACATCAAAAGCACTACACTTTTTCATTATATAACAAAGCCTTTGAGCCACAAGGGTCCAAGTGATATTTGGGGACAACATGAACGTTCTGTTAAACTAAACAAGTTTTGAGCCAAATGCAGTCAGTTGGGTTTTCTTTGAAGAATACATAAGAATAACAGATTAGAGCAGTGATACACTGGCCAGCTATGAGAGCAATGGGCAGTGCTCCCAGCAGCAGGAAACATGAAAAAAATACATGATTAAAAACTGAATGCTTCACTGCTATATGATGTCTCTAATCACTGAAGCAGCTAAGTGGATGAAACTGTTTGCTATAGTGTTGTCACTTTACTCTTAATTCTACAATATCTGCACATGAGTACAGTGACTTTTTGCATTGTTTAGGCTTCATCGTGCAAGCTGGATTAAAGTTACACAAGGACAACGACGTTAAAACACTGACCTTCAACTAGTGATAGTATTTTGAGGGCGTGAACGTCCATGTTGGTTGAACAAAAGAGTTTCAAATCTCTCTCCTGTTGAGGAAACAAAGAAGTCAGTGAAGCTCAAACCTGGCACTGCATCACTAAGAAAGATAGCAAGTGCATGATGATATCTGAGGGCTTTAGACTTGAGGGAGCCAATTATTTATTTATTTTAGCCTTTATTTATTCAGGGGAGCCAAGCTCTCTTTTTAGGCAGTGCCACGATCACAATCTTATGGTTGCACACAGTCACACTGGGAAGCCGCCCAGTACAACCACGGCCGGATCGGCTGGCTGCTGGAAAGGCTTGAAGGTGAAGGGCTTCGCTCAGTTATTGTAATTAGGGAAGGGACATTGCTGCTGTTTTATTTTATTTTACCCAGATGTAATGTTTAATCACAGGGGTCCACTTATATAGTAAATGAAATGATTGATTTAAGTTCCCCCTCACCTGCTGGATTTGAGGAAGAATAGATATGGAAATTGTTGCAGTCCCTACAGAGTTTTTCTGTGGTGAATTTAAACACTCTCAAATATAGGAGACTGAATGATATCTCCTCTCAATCTCTCCAGTATCTTTGTCTGTTGGTGTTTCACCTGTAATCTCCTCTGCTCTCTCCTCCTGTTCTCTTCTCCTCTCTCCTCTCCTGGTCATCAATATGACAGATTTAACAAATTCCAAACAATTTTATGTGAAAATTAATCATACATCTCTTATTTATAGAAATGCATTCCCTCCATACTTATGCAGTTATTTGAACACACCATCCAATATCAGATTACACCAAACCATTATTTCAATATTCCATCCCATACCAGCTCAACGATAATAAGCTTTTATTCCATATGGGCTGACTGTCAAACAACACAGCAACACTACTAGATGTCGTCTACGTACCAATATTCATCAGATGTACATCAATTAGCACTCCTTAGCTAGTTACTGTATTATTTACTGCAGTGTAATCAGTGCATTCTGTGCTCTGATAACATCTTCTTTCTATAACGTCATCCATCCTCGTCCCTTCCTGTGTCTTTTCGATGCCGTTATCCCAACATTTAAAAATATTTCCTTAAACATCAATAAAATACTTTGCTAAAACCAAATATGACAATTATTGTAACTCATTAATGCAACAGTTTGAGTTCAAATATAATGAGGGTGTTATATAAAATATACAATTTCAAATATTGTGTTAATTTCCTGCTTTTTCTTATTCACATTTCTATTTTGGACATAATTCCTTGCACCTTGTTTCACACCCCTAAATGAAGGTTTAACCCTTTCGTCTGCTGTGATTTCCATCAGATATATTCTAGGCAGCTGCACAAAGTTGCACTTGCTTTTGAGAGCTGAGTCTTTTTTCCGACGTGGCTCTTGCTATTTGTGTGAACATTATTAAGTGCAGCAGATCCGCACTTATATCATCCAGCCATTTGCACAATCCTTCCCTAAATGCATACACATAAAGCAGAGATGGGCACTTTACTGACCTCACAGAAGCTGCACCTTTGTAAACAGATAAAGTGCCTTCCCTGACTGGTGAGTCAGTTTGATAATAATATGCATGTGTTTAGGCACAAAATGTTCCAGAAGTGAAGTGAAAAAACCTCTTTGAATCTTGCCCTCTCTCTTTGAAAAATACTTGCACTTGCACACATGCCTAATATATGTGCATTGAAGAATATTCATTTAAAAAGAAATCTCTCTGTCTCTGTCTTTCCACAGCTCCATGCGGAGGACAGTATGGTGGATCTGAGGGGGTTGTTTTGTCTCCTAACTATCCCTTAAACTACACCACAAGACAAACCTGCTCCTATTACATCACTGTGTCCCCACAGTTTGGTAAGTCCGTAACTAATCCCACCGCTCTTGCTGTTGTGTAAGTGAAGCACCAAAACAAAAGCTAATTTATTCGATCTTTTTCAGTGGTGTTTGGTCAGTTTGCCGTTTTCCAGACGGCGATGAACGACTCGGTGGAGCTGTTTGATGGAGCCAATGAGAACGCCCGACTGCTGAGCTCCCTGGCTGGGTCACATTCAGGTGAGTCTCTGAATGTGACTGATTGAGTGTCAGCCACAGCCAGGGTCATGCTGCCATAAAATCAAATGTTTTGTTTGATTGTTTTTTTCACCTATGATTTAACATGCCATGCCATTATATTTTAAAACTGCTGCCACACCGTAGTAATGTTTTAAAGTTTCTCAGCTGTTTTCCTTTTATTTTTCCTGAACACATCTGTGAAAGAGGAAATTATAATGAAATCGTTTATAAGAAAGCAGCTCTCGGGAGCTGTAGAACATAGCACCAGTGGTCGTTATCACAATTTATTTGACAGTGATGTATTTGGTGAAATTCCATTATGGGTTATCTTTACAAGAAGAAGTCAGCAGTGGGGGCTCTACCATATACACTGCACTGATACTTCTTAACACAATCCTCCCTGGGTTTCCTTATCCTCCTAAGTTGGAGTCACCCCAGCCTGGCAACATTTCAAGTTACTCTGCAGTAACACACAGATTGAAAGATGAAGCAAAATCAATGTAAGTGACAGAGTATGGAGAATGAAATGTTAATAAATATTGATTAACATAGATGCTGGCTAAATGTGCTCTCATTTCCTCAAGATTTCATGTTCCTCTGCTCTGTCATGGCCAGCGGGCATGCTGCAGGGTTATCCCTCTGGAATTGACATTTAGTTTCTTACTGTAAAATTTAGGATATTTTAAGTTATTTTTTCTGTTGTTTATTCGGTTTTGTGCTTGTAGAAATATGAAGAGAAAAAAGTTGCTGTTTGATAAGAAACAAGACGGCAACTGCCAGTAAAATCAGCATCACAATGCTGGAATACAGAAGAGTTTGAAGATAAAAAAAAAAGGAAAACATCAAAATAAAGCAAACACAAACATATATAGACAGATATGATGGTTCCCTCAGGCATTTCTTTCAGTTTTTTTCACCAAGGCTCTTGAGTGAATCAATGAGCTTATTTCTGCATAATATTAACTTGGAGGATGTGACAGTTTCTGTATGGCTACATGTAGATGCACATTACGCAATATTTTTCTTCCAAACTACCATCCATCTAAGTTAGTTCAAAGGAAACAGGCCTGTTTATATAATGTAGGATGGGTGGCTTATTCCTTAAAGTTAATTTGGGTTTGAAATTCCCCTTTTGGCTTAAACTGGCAGGAAAGAATGAAACACACCAGGCTCCACAAAATAAATGAATCATTACCCTATCACACATGCACGTATATGCACACACACACACACACGTGAATGGGCAAACAAATTTGTTGTACACTGTTCCAGCAAACTGATTATTCTGACACACCAACGTATTAACACGCAGACCAAGCGTACACATACACACACATCCTGACGCAGCTAATGATGGTTGTAAATGTCAGCCCCACCAGGCCATGTTTTTCTCATTTATCACTGTTACTTTGTTTGCCTGTGTATGTGTATGCATATTTTCTCTGTGATTTGATGTGTTTCTTCTTGCATCCCTGTACTTGTAAGGACATTTTGCATTTTACCACCAGGGGAAAATATAAGAGAAGTTTAAAGTTACAACATCAAACTAGTACAGTACAGGCTGTGTCTGTTTGTCTGCAAAATAAGAAAAATAATTAATGTTAATATTAATATTAATAATTTATAATCTGCGTGTGTGTGTGTCTGCACGTGTGTGTTTGTCTCCATCCCAGGAGAGACATTGCCATTGGCAACTTCCAATCAGATCATGTTGCGGTTCAATGCTAAGAGTGGTCAGTCAGCTAGAGGCTTTCACTTCGTCTACCAAGGTAAGTCTCACTTTGTTTGTTTGTCTCACTCACACATACATGCACTTACACAAAGTAGCATACAATTTAAGTTCCACATCTGTGTGTCTCTCCTGACAGCTGCAGTTCTGTTTTCCTCTCCTCATTCCTCTCATATTAATTGTAACTGTCATTACTGTAGCTGTGCCTCGCACCAGTGACAGTCAGTGCAGCTCGGTGCCGGAGCCTCGGTATGGCAGGCGGATCGGCTCAGAGTTCTCAGCAGGCTCTGTGGTTCGCTTTGAGTGCAGTCCAGGGTATCTGCTGAAAGGATCCAGTGCTATCCGATGCCAGGCCATACCAGGTGCCCTCGCACAATGGAATGCAACAACTCCAAGCTGTATAGGTAAGGCTCCCCTGACATCTACAGTCAATGTAACCAGCTAACATACAGAAGTGGTCAGTCCACGGGCTTTGGTGAATCACTGCAAGACATCTGTACATTTATTCTAAGCATGTAATGTTCATACAGATGGAATTAAAACTGGGTGAAACAGCATGATTGACCACTGAGACTCACTCATGAGAATCAGGAGAGAGTTTTGGCATCAGGGGCGGATCTAGGGTCAGATCCGAGAAAAAAGTCACTCACTAACAACACTAACAAAAAATATGACATTTTTCAAGAAGATCTATTTTCAAAGTACAGTTTGTTTGAACAAGGAACAATTTTCAAAATATATCACTTTACTCAAAGCTATACAGCTAACAGTGAACAAGAAACGACTTGAATGTACACATTTCCTGAATCAGTAATCTTGCATTGATCTTGGGGTAAATTGTTGCTCCTTTATGGCCCCTGATTTAAAGAGATCGTAGATTTGCCAGTGATTGGCAGGACCTTGATGGCACAGCTCCATCCCCATTTGATACTGTGCTGACGCTGGCTCCAAATGACGTCATCAGCAGGAGATGGCAGCGTATGAAACTGGGATATTTTGGCTTCATTTCTGGATAGTGGGGGGAAGTGGAGACACATCATCCATCTCTATATATCATCTGTGATTCTTACCGATCTCATTATAAGCCTGGGTGAATTCTCTTTCAATCAAGAGAGCACCTTTTACAAATTGTTTCAGCTCCTTCTTCAGTTTTTTCTATAAATACTGTAAATCATATTTCCTTTCTTCGGCTGTGGTGGTCATATGAACACCATATTGTCCCTGGGTCTGCATTGCTGTATTTCAACAACCAGGTCAGTATCTGTTAGCCATTGACCTAACCTTACCAAGAAATCCATATTTTATGTCATTACTCTAGTTCCCTGCAGTGGAAATGTGACCGAGCGTCGTGGTACAATACTGTCCCCTGGTTATCCTGAACCCTACCCAAACAGTCTCAACTGTCTGTGGAGGATCCATGTCAGTGAAGGGGCAGGGATACAGGTACAGATACTCTCATATAGGAATGTATAATGCACTGCACATGCACTAACTATGGAGGATTCACCTTAACTCTGAGGCTGTTGTGTTTATTTGTTTTCATTGTTTTATATTTAGATCCAAGTGATGACGTTCGCCACTGAGCACAACTGGGACTCTCTGGAGATCTACGATGGAGGAGACATGACAGCTCCTAAATTAGGGTCATTTTCTGGTATGACAATATGCTCACACACACACACATGCACGAAAAACACTCTGGAGATCTATGATGGATGAGATATGACAGCTGCTAAACTATAGATACACACAAACACGGACTGATAGACACACAGAAACAAACACACACATCTATGATGAATTCGATATGACAGGTCTTGAACTATAGATACACTCACAAAGAGCATTCACTGGAGATCTAAGATGGATGAGTTGCAATACCATAAAATGTGATGTATATCTTCAATTAAAAATAAAAAAATGTTTTTAAGACATGTAATCCTTCTGCTCTCCAGGCAGTTAGTGAGAGGAGGGAAGAGAAGAGGAAGGGAGAGATGGGAAGAAGAGTTTGAATGAGTGATGGAAGAGAAAGAGAGAGAGAAAGAAGACAGGGAGGGATAAAGAATGATCTAACCTTTCACAATTTCCCAGCGGAGTTTCCCTTGTGACCTGCCCTAAGCACATACCTGTCACACACCTATCACACATAAAACATGCTGCCCATAGGGTCGCATGCACGCACGCACACACACACACACACACACACACACACACACACACACACACACACACAAATCACTGTGCCCTTCTCAAGATGCCACACAGGGGAGCTGCCCACTATGACCACAGTGATCTGGTTTTGGCCACTGAGCAGCTTGTCTTGGGCAGATGAGGGTTGCTTCACATAAGGACACTGAAATCCTAGCTGTCCATTGAGGGCAAGATGTCGTTCAGTTTCTATACACATAATTTCCCAGCTGGTGTTGGGATTTATTCAAGAGTTATCTGCAAAATCTCACATGCAGAAAAAGTGTCACTGTGCACAGTATGTGTGCATCTGTAAGTGTTATGTTACATAAACTTAATATGTATGTATTTTTTATATCCTCCTGTTTTTTTATATCTATTGAGCAAATCCCTGCAAAATGTTATAACTACTTTGTATTTATCAGAAATTGTAAAACCTCATCACCTGTTTGTGTTGTATCTGTGTCTCTTGTCTGTTAAAGGAACGACAGCTCCCGCCCTCCTCAACTCAACATCAAATCAGCTCCTTCTGCATTTTCAGAGTGACATCAGTGTGGTGGCAGCAGGTTTTCACCTAGAATACAAAAGTATGTTGATGATTTTCCCTACGTTTACATGGACACAA